TTATAAGTCATTGTCGGATTTTTTCCCCTCTCCCCATGAGCTTCTTCATCGCCCTCTTTCTTCAAGAAACTTCAGATCTTGTCAGCTGTTAAAGGCACTGGCATTTCCCTTTACTATAAACTCAGGATTGGAACAACAACACTGGAAATCTTAGCAATGTTTATACAAAAAGCATGACTGGTTCCAGCTACAGCATTGCACTTTCTGGGTAAGAGTTCATATAAATTGGCAGGTTTGTGGGAAGGAAGGAAGAGCTCCTCTCTTCTGGTATCCCCTCAGAACTGAACCTTTGATTCTGAGGGAGTCAGAGTCTGGAGCCAGAATGAAGCACAGGGAGCAGCACTTGGTGGTTCAGTGAGACATCAATATCCCTTTCTTGCTCACCACCTGAACAATGCTGGTGCTCACTAATATTGCACACATTTAGACATGTGATGCTAGGATTGTCTCAGTATACTGCTATTACTAGTGACAGTACTTGSAGAAACTRTATCTATTCTTAGTCTAYGCACATGGCAGAAGTGACTTGCCACTTTCTTTTCTCTAATTAAGCATTTCACAATCCCTTTTGAACTACATTTCTCCCCACAGTTTGAGAAACACTGCACTAAATCAATTAAAAATCCCCAAGGGTCCAGATTTAGGTCTGAAACCAGATTTAGATTTGAAATTTCCTTTAAAAAGAAACCAAAACCTTAGTGGTATCCTTTTGATATTCAGTGAAGTACAATGACTTACGCGCAGAGGACAAAAAAACAAGCACGATTCAAAAGACACTGGCAGAAGAGAAGAGACAACTTGAAAGACACTCTTGAAAGATAAACTTGCGGAGCAAATCTAAATATTAGACAGAATATTAATGTAAAGCAACCCATGGCTCCATCCATGTGCTGCACTTAACATGAAATTGTCATATGAGAATGCTCCTGTAAATTTGGCTCACTGTACAAGGTTTGCACTTTAAAAAGAAAATACAGCTTTCCTCCTCCTCCCCCCAACCTTCTATTTATTTTGCTAATGTAAAGATTCACATCTGTTAATTCAATCCATGTTTAGTGATCTCATAGGTAAAAGCAAACCTGGAGGAAGGGACTGTACAGCCAAGTTTAATTATAAACTGTTCCTTTCTGTAGGAATGGTTGTTTACCTCCAAGGCTGAGGAAGTTCATCCCAAAGCACTGAGAAATTTGGTTTTAGTACAACTTGTGTTAAGATGCAGGAGTGGATTTGAATGGGATAAGCCAAAAAAGATATCGTCCCCAAATATCCATCTTGCACCTCTCATGGAAGCTGCTTCTCCTGCAGCAGGAACAGTGTAACTGTAAATCCACAAAGTATCCAGGTAACCTGCAAACCAGCACTGGCACTTAAGTATAATAACTTGTGCTGTAAAAAAACCCCAGCAGCTAAGAATTATACATAATGGGCATGAATTAAAGCATGCAAACTTTCACTGAACACAAAAAAATAACACTCTCTTAAGAAATAACTATTTCTGGGACATATTTCTGGAAATAAGGAGAAGATAGGATAGACTAGCCAGCATCTTGGTTCACCTGTACAGACCCTGTGCAGTTCTATTCTTAATATCTTCTAGAATAATCAGGCAGAAGAGTGGAGAAAAAGATAACAGACAGYCAGCATCTACCATTMATTTCYTCCCCAGACTGCATCGCTAAAAARTCCACAAAMAGATCCCAATGCAAATTCAGACACCAACTCATTTCCATTCCTCCCCTTACATGACAGGAAGACTTAAGCATGAAAGATCAATGTTACACACAGCTCTTAAAGTCATCATCAAATCTTCATATCAAAAATTAATTTTGGGCAGAGTTTCAATGTTCCTAGTACAGATTTATGGAGGAGGGAAAAGTCTGGATGCTATTTTTCAAATTTATAATCAAGGAAAATTATGAAATTGGGGGAAAAACCCAAATAAACACCAAGTATCCTAGAACAGAGTAACTGAATTCAATCAAGTCCATCTCTCAAGAAGAACATGATTTAAAAACAGTTTTCATACATACTGGCATCAGCCACTTGCCAGGTTTACTGCAACTTAATTAGTTCCCACCTGGTAAGAGAGAGAGGGCAGTAAATAATAGGCAGTTTTGCCCTTCTGGTTTAAAGCAGCTTTCCAAGCAAAAAGCAGTTATAAAACACTGGCTTCAAATTGTACACGTCAATGAATGAGCAGCAAATTTTTCTTCTCATTCATTGGAAGCAGGAACAGAGGCTGATTCCAAAAGGCACTTAATTATATATTAATTGTTCTGGCACAGCATCTCTCTAACTGAGTGAGACTAATTTTGCATGATTAAATTTAAAACCACCATTGATGAACCCAGGTTGACAAACCCATAGAAATGCAGTGGGAAGCCTCAACTTGAAAAGGCTCTGTGCCTGCTGAAGTCCAAGCTGTCAGAAGTCATACATCTGAGAGGAGTGTAAAGTTTAATAACATTTGGTGGAAAAAATACACATGAGCTCTTTTAAGGCCCAATACCTGCCAGTACGCCTCTGTCAATGGTTCTGGTTTCACAGTGATATTTCTGCTCTTCAAAAATATTTTATTTTCTTCATTGCTAAGCAAAACATGCATATACACAGCAGGTACATTAGGATAATGTGCAACTGAATATAAATAAGTGCTTCCAARGACATGTATCAAGCAACCTAAAAAAACCTCCCATATTTTCCTCTGTTTTCTTCTATGGTATTTGTACTCCAGTTTTTTGGAATAGCCTCAGTACCCTGAAAGATAAAGAACTTGCGTCATGCTACAGGGTTTTTGTTGTTTTGTTGTTTTTTTACAAAGGAATGTTATAGTGCTGTTCATTTAAATAATGCTTTTCTTGACAGTAACAAAGAGAGAGAAGGAACCAGTATGGAAAAGTTTTTTAGGATTTCCTGAATACATGTCAAATGGTGACTGAATGAGCAGATCCCACCTGGGACACAGGCACTGGCTGCAGTGTCTGGTCAATGGGTAAGTCGTTWCTCTTTTCTGCCTTCCTTTTCCCTCCTCCCTTTATCATCTCCGACAGCTAACCATCTGAGGCATGAATCATCTCCTCCACTACAGCCCTGCAACTGAATTGATGCTTTAAAGGAAACAGATTGAGGAAAAGTTAGAACAAACTGAATCAAAGGCAGAACTGTGTGTTCAGAGGTATATATCACCCTATATATTTTCAGGATTTATTTCCACAATGCTCCCAGCCTTGAAGAAGGTAAACATGCATGTTTGTGTGCATAGGTAGTAGGAAGAGGGGCTTCTTTCCCATCTTTCCATGTCAGAAGAGAGAGGGATGAGACCCTCAAACTTCATTCTCTCATTTCCATTTCTCCCTGCATCAGGAGCAGGCTGCTATTAAGTTTCCTCCCTTTTGGCCTTACTTTYCCCCTTCTTCCTCCTCCTACCCATAAAGTGGCTTGAAGAAGCTTGCAGATAACTTGGCAGGCTGTCTTTGAGSAGCTTTACCCAATGTAAGTCAGCAYTGATCTTTCTTGTCTCCTTCAAATCTTACATAATAAAATAAAAAACAAGATACTATGAAAATAAGCCAGTACTACATATAAAGTATGAGGGGTTTTGAGAGTCAYTGTAAGTTTTTGGTAAATTAAACTAAATCATTTTTGTATTATTTTGCTGCAGTTTGAAAGGAGACTTCATAATATTTTTTCAGTTTTGTCCCCACTGTTCTTGGTTCATCATGACTAACTTGGTGCATCTTTCCCTGAACACAGTGTGCAGTGTCTACCATTCGTTATATAAGAAAAAAATAAATAAAACAGTCTTCACTCCAGTAGGCAAAATATTTCTATGCTTATTGAAAAAAATTAGCAAATGAAAATGGAAAAGTTTGGCAGGGCAAAAAAATCAACMTAGAAAGTTTGGGTTCACTTGGGAACTCCCTTTTCCTCTAGCAGGGCTTTCAGAATGCTTAAAAATCATCCTGCTGTGATTCCAGCCACCCTCTAGTACCACCTTCTTTTAAATTTCACACAGGAATTTTCCAGGCATGTGCCACAAAAGGGTTAACTACAAGTGAAACTGATTGCACTGCATGAAGAAATTACCAACGCATTTCAGTAATACATTTTCAGTGTGAATTCAAATGCTCTCCTCTCCAACAGACCTTTATAATGCACTGAGTCCCCAGATACACTAGGGTCTAAAACACATTATAAAACACTTTCCTTTGCTCTGAATACTATTTACAGAAATAATAATAATTCTAACCAGGTAACATGCTGTAGGATTTCRAAATGTTAAGGGTAAGCTGTTAAATATTAAAGTGGTTGCTTTTAATATTAATACATGTGCCACAAAAACAATCTCAGAGAAGTCTAGAATATAAAACRTGGCCCTTGTATAACTTGTTTGGGTTTGTTTCTCCACCACCCCAATTTCCTAATAGGAATTTTTAATCCATAATATTGAATTTGTTAACTTCTGTAAACTGCCTCAAATCAGTCCATAGGGCCATTGCTTTTAGAACCAATCAGCTACACAGAACAACCACTGAGATTCCTGCACAGAACAAAAAAGATCCTCCTGCTCACAGTGCACCACTACTTAACTTCCAAAATCTGCACTTGCTGCAGCCATTCAGCATGATTCTACTCCAAATGCAAAGCACTGACTAGAAATTTGAAGACTTTCCACCCAGAGGTAACTACATTACCACAATTTTACAGTTGAACAGACTAAGGCACAAAAGTGTTAAGTGGGTCACACAGGCAGTAAATGCCGTATTTAAGCAGCTGTTCAGAAAGAAAAAACAAATGAAGAAACCAGCTGAACACATCAAAAACCTTCAGCAGTAAGAGAGGAAAAGGTTACACCCCATATAAAAAACACCCTCTACGCCACATACGCTCACAGAAAAATACATGTGCACTGAAGTAAACATAAATACAGAGACCCAAACATGCAGAGARGAACTTATTTATGAACAGGGCCGGCTGAGCCCAGGCACACGGACACTTACTTGATCTATTTCCATTAACTTGGGGAAGGCACCTGGCCAYTCAATCGCCACCTTCACTATATCAGCAGGAGGGGGCATTGCGACGCTGCTGTTCTTCGGAGCCAGTACAACTGGACACTAAATACTGCGGAGAGCCTCTCTCATTCACACCTGCAGGGAGAGGAAAAAAAAAAAAAAAAAAGGATATTACAGCAGTTCAGACAGAACTCCAGCACTGCTGCTTCAGTCTCCTACATCTCCCCTGTCTGGGCAGGTGGGATGAAAATGTATGTGTGTACGTTTGTGCAGGAGCAGGAGAAYGGCACATATTACAGGAGCAGACACAGGACACAATGCCACGACAYGCTGCACAGCTCGACAGTCTGTTGGAAAGATGGCTGAAGCACTGAAATGTACGGTGAATAATAGGCATGCATTAGATTTAAATAGAAAAACTATTTTTAAATATTATTAAATATGCTGGTGGGGAAAAAAGCAACAAACTGGAGGAAGCTCCTGTTACAGWGTCACTCCTGGAGTCCCGGGAACGTGACCGAATCGGTTAATGCTGGCGCTTCAGGAGAAGAGATTGCCCAGGAAGTTATGGCCAGGAAACACTGTTTCTTTTAACTAYAGCAATGATCTTCTGGGTGTTCACAAATAGATCACTGCACTATAGCAACCAGCATGTCAGGAAGAAGGCAGAAYACACAGCAGTTTCCACATATACATACACACACGCACACACAYATCCTCACCTCACTGATCCACAGATACCCACATATAAACACTTCTTTATGGCACATCTCAGACACGTGAACACACAAGGAATGTAGCGTACATTCACAGTGACATAATCTGCTATGTCATAGTTCTGCAAGAATGGGAATATCAACAGGATCTCATGTCAAATAGTGCAAGCTGTGAATTTCAGGGAAGGAGAGGAAAGGGGAAAAATCAAATGCTCAGRTTGTGCTGAATTTCTGTCTCGTTTGACTCATTAAGATTTTTAACCTTGAAACAACAACCAGTGTTTGTCAAGAGTGTGTAGTGCCTCTCTGGAGTTGCAAACAAACCTTCTGCACCCCTCCCTCAGGTTGGTGGTGGCAGGACACCCTCTCTAGCAGCAAAGCTGCAGTTCTCAGAAGCAGCAGCCTGTGCACCCTGCTGCAGATGGGGAGGCTCCTGCTCGCTTTGTCCAGCCCTCCACACCAACCATAGTGTTTCCTGTGTGCTCGGCCGAGGMCCAGCAAAGCACCATCACATATCACAAAACAAGAGAAGCTGTAGAAATCCCCACTGGTGCAGTCCCACTTCTTCTTAGCAGAAAAAGAGAAGGAAGTGGTGAAAGCGTGGAGACATGCTTGCATATGCATCCCTTCAAAGGGCTAAGGCTAGAGAGGAGCTGGCTGAGTACACCAGACATCAAACAGACAAACAGGTACAGGTTAAAAAAGGCTCTGACCACCTCCTGTTTGTGCTTCAATAAACCTGGTCTAAAACCTTCCTTCAACTACAGCAGGAACAGGAGCTCAAATCAGTCTGATCGAAATTGTGAAATCAYCCCTTTATTGGGGAATTGTACCTTTGTCTCAGACTGCTTTTATCAGTGGGAGTTCATCCAGCCTTCTGGATGTCTCTGTCTTTCCTTTTTTCTTGTGTGCCCTCCGGTCTGCTCTGGAAAGGCTCAGTCTTCTGAGTCTGCAAGCCTTGCTACATTCTGCATAGGGTTCTCAAMACATACTATAAAAGCAATTTATGAACTTTAACACTTCAGCAATTTATTTCCAACAATGGCAGTTCTGACRCCGACAGGATCGCACATCGCCACAAAGCAAAGCTCAAGGCAGTAAATAAGACAATGGGCAATCTATAAATAAGACTGGATTGCAGGAAGTGCCTTGAAAGACTAAACAATGTGATTAAGAAACACTGTGATATTGTCTACATTTGGTAGATGTTACAGGAACAGTGAATAAACACAATTAGAGCATGCAGCTGGCTTGCTGMTCATTGAGAAAAGTCAGACATTTACTTTTGGCTGTCTTCTATCCTGTAGGGCCTTAGTGGATGCAAAGCTCCCAACATTCCTCCCCAACACATTACACTTGCACCATTTCCATCTGCCACCAGTGCTCCCCTTGCTGCACAGTGGCTCAATCAACCARMAAAAAAAAAAAAAAAAAAAATTGGTCATCTCTTTTTTTTTACCATATTCAAATCAAACATCTACTTAGAGGTGATACAACATGGGAGAGGGGAGGAGAGGAGAGGAGAGCTGTTAATCCACCTTGACAGTCACTTGAAACTGAGACCTTGGCACCTCCTGCTCCACCCTCACAGCGATGGTGTTTCCACCTCCTCAGGGGTGTCTCCTTGGTACTCTCAGCCTGCTGATGTTTAGATATTGAGCTGTCTGAGAGCTTAATGGGGCTGACTCACGCAGTGGCTGACCGACAGGCTACTCCCTGCATTCCCTGGCTTGGCACCCCATCCCTGGCAGGAGGGATGCTGGAAGCCTCAGCCAGAGCCTGAGTTTGCTGGCCACAACACAAAAAGCRTAGCAGCAGCAGCTCCTGCCAGACAAACTTGACTGGGGACAGCTTCAGCTGAGTAAGCCTTTGTTTTCAAGCCTTTATTTCAAGTTTTATTTCTCTCCATCAGGTTTCTTCTACACTTTTAATAAAGAAAATAATCTGTAGGTCACATATCTAAAGAGATAGAAGAGAAACTTATAAAAACCAYAGAATCCATCCAAAGTTTCTTTTGACTGAGAAGAAATAACTTGAGACCCAATATCTTCCCTCCAAAGCTCACAATAAGTGCTGGAGAATAAACACCGCTGTCTGTAAGTACAAAAGCAAAACTACATTACGCAGCAATAAATTTGCAGAAAACTTCCATATTCCCATGCTTACGAGGGCATTAACCCTCATTTTGCTTTAGCCAGTTGTGGGCTATCTTGAGTGACACAGGAAGAAAGGTTTAAGAAAGAAGAGTCAAGGAAAGCTGATGGTAAAGTTAATCAAATTCAGCTATGGAAAATAAGCACTTGCATTGCAAAGCAAGGTGCAAGAGAAGTCTGCCACAGCATTCGGCAGACAATTTCATTGTGACTAGTTTTAACGTAGGCTAGCACGGATCTCCTACATAATTATAATTATTACTATACGTATGCTTATACAGTCGTAAAACACAAAGCAAAGTGACAGATCTTTAACTAATACAAATGGATGCAGTCCCACTTCTCCCACCAGAAGACCAACTCAAAGATAACAATGTGCTCTGAATGCTGCAAAGCATATAAAATCATCATTTTGTTTCTCTTTCTCTTTCTCTGCGGACATCCTAGCCAGGTGTGCTGACTTCTTTCCTGGTTTATACTCTTATTAATCCATTGTCACCTCCAAACAATAATTTTGTTTTGTTCTACCTATGTGACAATGTCAGAAACAAATATTCTTTTAGTTTGGAGGGTTTTTTTTTGGTTTTTTTTTAAGGCCAAAATAGATGTTTAGCTGTCATCCAAAAATTAGAAAAGAAAATTCTGCAACCTGCAGCACTGATAAATCAAAATTACCTACTATTTATTCCCGTGGTACTCAGTGTGTTAGACACTGCCCAGTATAATAAGGAAGGCACAATTCCTGGTGTGAAATGATTCCAAWTTAGTAAGAAATTTTCATTACGTGAATGCAGAACTAAAACTGTTTTCAACTGCTTTTTGTCATGCCAGCAGCAGTCAAGCAGTGAAAAAGACAGGGATGTCGCTGAAGGATCTAGTTATGGAGTTTTCTCAAGCACAATTCCTTTTTCTCTACCAGTGGGATCTGAGCAGCACTGACATGTAAGAGCAACTTTGCAACTCATTTYTACATTTATTTTCAAGGCAGAATCTGAAGGCTAGAAGAAAGCATGTGCAAGTTTGAGTGTATAAAGGGGAGGAGGAGGGTCAGAGGAAAAGGAAGGCAAATTTCCATTTTTTTCCCTAATGCATGCAAGGAGATGTAACCTGAAGAATGTTTAAGCACTTTACATGCCGAACAGCACACTATTTTATAATTTGAGGGGAAAATAACCACAACCAAAGCATGCCTACCACTTCAACATACTTTCTTCCATCAATATGGATTTGCAGAACTATGACAGATTAGCCCATTAAAGTGTCGATTTTGCAATTTATTGTTATTACCACATACAGCATATTTATGCATTTCAACCATACTATGAAGGGCTTCCTGTGGTCTACTAAGTTAGAGTAATAAACACCCAAGCTAGAAATCAAAGTATGTTAAATTTAACGTAAAAATGCATCAGCACAGATATGCAAGCTCTCAGTTTACCTGCCTGGCTCTGGGGKATTCATTCAGCACAAATGTCAGTAAAATATATTGAATTTCCCCCTTCTACCTATGCACTGCATGTGGAAAACAGGATTTTATTCRTGTATGAAATTAATTCTCAGCTGAACTCTCTCTTTTTTAAAAAAACTTGTTTTGCAATTTCATTGGCACTTTCCATACAAAGATTTCAGAGTACTTTAAATGACTTGAAGTTATCAGAGCACATCTCTTAAGAAATAAATTCTATTCTTATTCTACAGACAGAAGAAAAATGCAAGGCTAATAGGAGCTATGTGASTTGCAGCTCTACTCACAAATGTAAACAGCAGCCTAGAAGAGCTTATTTCTTCTTTTACAGAAGGGAGGTAATATTTAAAGAGCAGGCCAGCTCATCTCATGAACAGCTCGAGTAAGAAAATCAGTGATTAAAAAGTGACTGAAGGAACACCACGTGTACTTGAAAATTTAATTTAAAAAAAGTGTGTGTTTCTCCTCCCCAGACAAAAATGCAGCGGCTACAGGAATCACCTGGAGCTGGCACAGATCCTGCCAGCACCCGACACAGGCAGGTTTTTGCATGGCATTTCCTCAAGGAGAAGGGAAAGGAGGGCAGGAAGGGTGACAGGGCCAGGCAGGACGCAGTGGGTGCTGGCAGGGAGCGGAGCCTGTCCCGTCCCCAGCAGGAGAGGCACCTTACACCCTCTGCTCGGCACCTTACATAAGTCACCATTTCTTGTCAAACCTCATCAGCTTCCTCCGCTCGGCTCCTGCCGCCCCAGCAAACAGAAACTAAGTGGCAAGTTCAGCTGGAAGGTCCCTCGGGGRCCA